GAATTTTATATAATGACAAAAGTTCAATTATATTTGTGACAATGTTCTTTTGCGTGAGATGTTAATATATATATATATTATTTATACGGTATTATTTATTTAGAGATACCAGTAGATTTCAGCCATAATCATATATTAGAAATTTATTCAATATCATTATTGCGTATAAAAAATCTACTCGCATATTAAGTTTATTGAAAAAAGCATTCCAGGTGAATTAATCTATAAATGGCTAAATTAGAAATTTAAACAAACGTAAAAAATTCGGTAATGTCACTGGATGCAAAAATTAAGGTAAATGATCGGGATAAAATAAATGTTATACGTAGTGTGTTATACGTAGAAATAAGTGGGGTAAATGTTGTACGTATCCTATATATATACTGTATATGATACTGATTCAGAGGTTTTACAAGTATCTTTGCTTAAATAATACGTATTCAAGGCTGCATAGATAAGTTAGTGTACTACGTACGTATCCCCTGGCATAAATATGAGTTAATGTAACCAAATCCAAGTCTCTAAAACGCATGCATGCACAATACATGATTATAATATATGGATATATTTTTTTTCACAAGGTTTGGTAATTTAGTATGTAATAGTATATGATAGACAGGGGTGGTATTTTGACAAATTTCATCAGTTTCAGTTCATTACACCGTTGCAATATCTAATTTTTTTTTAATATAATCTATATTTTAAATAAATAATAGAAAGCCGTTTGGATATTTTTTTTTTATGTACGAAGAAAAACGTACCATTGTTCCTTTTGTAAAATAAATGCTCCAATGTGCCAACACGAAGAAATACAGACTTGTGATACCGAAAAATCATTTAATGCATATCAATGTATCATAATATGATACCGGAAATTTACTGCATGATGTTTGTTTTAATTGGGCAAAACTTACCTGTCAGTTTTTAAAAATACTGTATTTTTGTATAAAAAATTTATCCAATAAGAATGTGTAAAGTTTTATAAATTATATATATTTAATATATATATAATTTTTATAATATAATAGTAATATTTTTTTTTTTAAATAAATTAGTCTGACAAATCTATCAAACTCAGACCCCGTAAAATTCCGACTTGTTCGTATTTGAAGCTGTCTAATTTTTTTTTTTTTTTTACCAAATTCAATTTAAATATTCAGTTTATGTAATTACTGTAATTGCTAATTACCGATCAGAATGACTAATAATATTATCATGTCGCATTTAGGGAAAGTCCGACGAAATGAAAATTAAAAAACAGATTACAAGCTTTCTTGGCAGCACTCATTTACCGCTGGTTTACTACCTGCCTTTCTGAAATTTTCGACGATTGCTATCGTAACTGCGCTTATCCTTATTGCTTAATTAAACCCAATTACTTAATATAATGACTATTTTAATTATTAAGTGTTCATATGATTATGCATCCCCGCTATTATTATATAAATTGACAGTAATCATATATTTTAATCTATCTTTCGCGCCTGTTGTGCCATAAGTAATATTGCCGATCACTAACGTTAAGTACTCAGGGGTCCAAAATAAGAATTGTAACGGTAATAAACATAATAAACATCGGCATTTTTACGCGTCTTTGGTTTCACAGATAATAATGGAACACAAAATCTGTCACTAATATACCTAACTGTATTTGCACAGGGGCGGTTGCATAAAATACGATAAATACGTATAAATTTATGTAAGATGACGAATTGAATCATGTGATGCATATAGTTAAAACTATATATTTTTTATAACTCAATTGGACTTTAAGCATTTTTTTTGCATAATTTGAAGCAAGTAATATTAAAGAAATTGCTCCTTCATTAGAACTCCTAGAAGATTGGTAATCAACCAAAATTAGTCATGCATTATGGCATTATGTAGAAGTAATAGACCAGATGTTTGATTAATAACAAACAACCCTCGCGTAAAACTCAGGACGTAAACAATCGTTATTACTTATATGCTTTGATAAAAAAAACATGAATAAACCTTAATATGCATTACATCAGTGCGCATAGATTAAAATAGAAATAGAATAGCAGTGTACGTACGGACGTACGTACTACTATTATACATGAGTCTACTATTTTAAAGGTTACCAGGTAATGTGTTTTTAAGAGCTTCATAATGACTCCTTACTTTTTGTTTCAATGTCAATTCCTTAGACAAACATTTGAATGTTTACTATACTGCCATATCAAGGATACAATTTGTTAATCGTTTCACCAGTTACCAGACTTTAAATGCATTGGAATGTAGCCAAAATTATAGAGCCGTAGGTTAATTTAGGCGCCGCTGCGGGTTTTTAATTACGTAATATTTATATATGTATGATGTTTAATAATAAACTTCAACCGGGAAGGTTGAATTTACTTATAGCGCGAAAACCAATTTTAAAAAAAATTTTTAATCCGGCGTGCATGGTTTGTTCTCCGCCTTCATTGACTTCGTTGTGGCTAAATACCTTATTAGGTCTAGTACTTGAAGTCGTACCTGGATTTCATCTCGGTGGCATATTTTCGGTATTCGGATTTCGGTTATTGTTTTGTGTACCCTCTGATCTAATCAAATTTAAAATCAATTTTTTCCCGCTTTAAAAATATTTCAATTCTTTTTCTTCGTAAAAAAAAAAAAAAAAAAAAGAAAAAAAAAAGAAGAAAAAAAAAAGAAACGACATAAGAATCCAAGGAAAAGCCGTTACAGAAAAAAAAAATCAAAAGATAACCGATAACCCTCTTTTAATTTTATCAAAAATTCTATAATACGTTTTTCTTTTTTTCTGAACTATATATTTCTCTTGGATACTACATATGTATAAACACGATAAATACTCTACCGTTTTTTTCTTGTGACGTGCTTTTTTTTTGATTATTATTTATTTTATTTTTTTTTTTTTTTGATTAAATTTTTTTGTTCTTTTTTTTTTTTTCTTTTTTTTTTTTTTTTTTGAAGTCTGTCTGTTGTTCGTGTATTCCAAGCCTATAAACATTATTTATAGCATTCACTCTCACTTTTACAACTGTTATTACGACTTCATACATTCGTTATTCACAATTTCCGCTCTTGTCTCCTTTGTTGGTTGTCTAACCTTTACGAAACTGAAAATAAAATTCCTAATAATACTTGTTTTGAATACTAGTTTTGGTGGTCAACCATAAAAACTATATTTAACGTTTTAAACTTGTGAATTCCGGAACTTTGCTCCGAATATCACCCATACACTTTGTATTTTACTGCTATCTCACGGATCTAACAATGTCGAGGAATACAAACATATTAAACACGTACAATTTTGTAAGTACCTCAAATGGACATGGACCGTTTGATAGGTATTTATGTTTATCTCTTATTCGCGGCTAGACTTCATTTTCAACGAAAATACACTACAATTATTAATTTATAAAACGCGTTTTCATTATCCTTTATATATAATTAGCACACAGTATCGTCTTATTATACGACAACAGCCAAAACAGGCTCGACTGTGTAGCCTGAAAGAGAGAGGTGAAAATCCATTCTGTGTTTAATTTATTCGTTCATTCTTGAAATTAATTTATTAATTATTAATAGATCGAAGACCCGTTGATCCTCCTCCAATCATTCAACTCAAAGTAGATTGTTATGGAGATGAAGCACAGTATGTTTTAATCGTCAATTATCTCTTTTTATTTATCAATTTATATCAATTTTTTATTTATTTGCTTTCTTTTTTTCTAAAGAAATTACCTTCAGAGTCCATACTATTTTATGTGTGCAAATCTTGTTCATCCCTCTAGTAATAGTGAACATTTTGCAATTTCATCCAAATTTCTCGCTGGTACTTTAGTTTCTTCTCTTCACAAACTTAAAGACATTGATAATTCTGGTATGTCTATTAATCTTATTTTCTTAATTAATGATACTGTATTAACCATTTTTTTTTAATTACAATTATAAAAAATCAGATGGTGGTTTTTTTGTGTTTGGTGACATATCTGTACGAGTTGAAGGTCGTTATCGTTTACAATTTAGTTTATTCGAAATCATCAAGTATGATATTCATTTTATTCGCATTTATTTCTCCAAATAATATAATTATAAAATTATTCAATGTTAATTGTCTTCATTGAAAAGGAATGAGGTCGTTCACATACAATCGATCTTATCTGATGTATTTGACGTATATTCCCCCAAAACATTTCCTGGAATGTCTGAATCAACTTTTTTATCAAGATCATTTTCTGATCAAGGTGTTAGAATAAGAATACGCAAAGAACACCGGATTCAAATGTATTTTAATTTTCATCATTATATGATTAATATGTTTAAATTTCTTATTTTTTTTATTACTTATTTGTTCATTATTCATGATAGGAAACAACCGCAGCCTAGTAGGCATTCCGACAGCGCAGAAGGTGATAAAGATAATGATATAAATGACGGTTCAGATATGACTGAAATTTCGAGAAAGAGAAGCATAAATTTGTCTTCTGCGACATCTCCGTTGGATGTACAACCTAATGATACTTCATGTTATTCGCAACGTCCCTCGCCGATGATTGATAGAAATGTTGATTATTCCTTTCACTATCCTCTACCGAATAATAACCATCATTATGAACCTGGCTCATCTAGTGCAAATAATACTCAACCTATACAACGAGAATACAGATGCAATTGTTCTTCATGTGTTCATTATGAATTTAAGCGTGAACCTTTTCAGGATGACCCTATTTTTACTCGTTTAAATTCTCTTGGCATGTCCCATGATGCTGATGGCTATCCGAAACGTCGAAGATTATCCAATTCAGAAAAGACGTCTTATGATTATAGGACAACGTTACCACCATTAATAGAACATCCTAACTTTCTCTCGAATACACATGATCGATCTATTTGTTCTGATGATATATCTGATCATTCATCCAAAAGTACTGCCTTAAATTGTTTCACGAAAGCACCAATGTCTTCTCAACTATCTCCTGTTTATCCATCTTACCGTTCCGATTCTCAATTACCTCTCCCAAAAATATCACCAACAAGATCCCACACATTACCTCCATCATTTATCAGCTCGCAACAACATCGTCAATTACCAACTCCACGGACATCAATCGATGTTCCTCCATTGACGCAATATCCTAGACCATCTTTTGATAGTTACAAAGACAATTTTAGCAGTAACACTAGTGAGAATAATAGTAACAACATTACGATACCACAAT